GAGTGGCACAATGGCTGAAGAGGTCATGGGCATGCCATGGACAAATCAGCAGACACTGGTGTGGTACTACAACCACTCAGTGCTCCTGATTTACAGTGCTCTCCCTGTAACAAATGCAGTGGACTTGGACTTGGACAATGGTGGTGCTGCTGATGCAGCTCCTGGCTTAACGACTGGTGCAGGCATTGACATGCCTTTATAGGATGCATTATTCTCTTACGAGAATGGCCAGAGGCCTGAAGTATAATTATGACATGCTTGAGGTTTGTTTCAGGGTGCTGTTGGCAACTGACCATTTGATTAACTTGGCCACAGCACGAAAACACCAGTGATGCAATGGATAGGAGGAGGAAACAGGTATGTACAAATGATGGGTGGTGCTGGCTGCTAGTGTTATGTGATAGGATATGAGAGAGGTTGCAGTACAGGTTCATTTGGTTCAAATATATTATGAATACACAGCATATTTCAAACATTTTTGGCATTTGTCATTAGCTGATGGGGGCCCAGCAATATCTAGTCCAACTAAGTTGACATTGCACACCAGTGTGATGGTTTGTATATCAGAGAGGTGGTTCTGTGACTAATACTTGCTCACAATGCAAAAGATAACAATGGTAGTGCAAGGTATTAGTTGGAGGTTGTTGGTAGTGCTATGAGACTCTTAATCTGTTGAGCAATGGGCAACTGCACTGGAATGGCAGTTGTATTGAATAATACCCAGGAACGAAATCAAAATAAAGAGGATATAATATCTGTTCACACACCCACCAAGTCCAGCATGGTGCTTCTCAGTCAACAGTTCCCAAATGCAACACCCAAAACACTTAGGGACCTTGTTTGAGTGAGTGAGTGGCATTCACAAAGCCATCAAAAAGCATGGAGGATGCTGCATGAGCATCTGCAGCCAACTCAACAAGAAGGTGTTTGGGCAAGTGAGGCTTTTTGCCAAGGCAGACAGACACCTGCAACAGAACCAGCAGCAACCTTGTCTGTCACTGGCCCAAATGAGATGAATGATGAGTTGCTGCACCCAATTGTAGAACCACTCACCATTGGTCCCAATGTACAGCCAATTGGTTGCTTACAAGGTTCAAGCACCAGAAGTGGTCTTTTCACTTCACTGTGGGCAAGTTGATAACTGACACCAAGTACTGCAAAATCGTTATCAGCCCCTTGTCCAGGCACTCATCCTCTCTCCCTGCCCATGCAACCTGACCAGTGTCTTAGGTGTTGCACTGTGCTATGCCCCTTGCAGCTCAGGCATCCCTCTGTGCTGCCTCTTGGACACTGTTTAACAATCCAAGTACAGCTAGGCCCAAGCTGACCACCCCTCCTTCCTTTTTGACATCCTAATAATCACTACTGAGCACACAAGACAACTATTGCAGACAGGACCACACCAAGCATTGGAAAAGCTCCTCCAAGGACTTGGCTCCCAAGTTCCTTAAGAACCAGGTGGTTCTGCTGCATATGGTTGCCTCCATATATGCGCCTTGAAAATGCAATGCCTTGTGCTGGAGTCGCGTTTGTTCTTTAGAAAGCTTGAATTCTGAGAGAAAAAAAGTGGCCTTGAGAGAAATATGCATGGTCCGGGAATCGAACCCGGGTCTACCGCGTGGCAGGCGGCAATTCTACCACTGAACCAACCATGCTTGAAATCACGGCAAAAACGGATTCCATATTATGGCGCCATCTCACTATCAACATGGAAGTGAAATGGAGGGAGGGCTTGCCATTTGTTCACTGTTGCTATTGGCAATGAGCAGAAAAGTGCATATAATACGCCACTTCCCAATGAGCCCCAAAACATTACAGCCAACAATGGCCACTCAGCACCACCACAAGCACCACCAGTGCCAGCACCAAAGCCCCACTAACACCAACAAGATGAAATATCAAGGAACCCAGAACCAAGATAACTCGAGCACCTACATCACAGCAAAAAAAACACTCAACCTATACGTTTCTGAAAAGGACCTCACAAAGCACTCTAAAAAGTGATAGCAGCCAGCACTTTTGACGTATGGGGGATTAGCTCAAATGGTAGAGCGCCCGCTTAGCATGCGGGAGGCACGGGGATCGATACCCCGATTCTCCAAATTGTACTGGGTCTGTGCTGGGACACGAGTTTGGGGATGAAACAGTCTTAATTCATCTTTTATCTTTTGTTATACTAATATGAATAGTGGCAACTGTCCAACCACATGCAAGACCCAACCTGGCCTCTCTGCTGCCATACAACTGCTGAGCTCTACCCACATCTATTTCTCCAGGGCCCCATACCCCACCTTGGTAGCATGTCCACCCCTAAGGTGAGGACCACTTGCTCAGTCCCTGCCACATTACAAAGCCCACTGCACTGCCAGACCACTCCTTGTTGTGTGAACAACTTCACCTTCTGTAACCCATTGTACCTCTTCTTCTCCTGGAGGAGATGGTAGTTTAAAAAAAGTGAAAACTGTCCATAGCTCAGTTGAAGCAAGTTTGTAGTTATATAAGCAATCTTTAAGATTCCTGGTTTGAGGCTAAGCAAATAGATTTTGCTTTGCCCATTCCATGTACATGTGTTGCACAACAGTGAATGCTTACAAATGTCAGCAATTGCTGCTGCCTTGGAACCAAGCCAGTAATACTTAGGCATATTTCTATGCTGTGTTTATGCTGGCTACTCTTACAAATGAGTGCTTTAAGATCAAGTTGGAGTTTTACCTTAAGCTGTTTTAAACAGCACCCTTGGACAACACTTTCCCTTTTGTGACTTTTACCATTTCAGATGTCAGCAACCTAATGGTGCTGTTGAGGTCATGAATCCATTTGCAAATAAATGCCAGAGGCTTTCCAATCACAAATGCAACCTCTCAGACAGGGATATCATGGACAAGTTTGGCTTGGAGCACAAGTGTACCATCCAAGCTCAGGAAGGTAGTGCAAACTGCAAGGGGTTGCTCAAATATATGCCTATCAACAGCAATTGATTTGTGACAGTGGGCCAATGACAAGTTGCACCACAAGTTCCCAATACTTTCATTACGTGACCACAGACTGTTACATGCATGCACTGACATGGCACTTAGAGACACACAAGTTTTCAGTGTTGACAGGATTCCAAAAAAAAAACAAGAACCTGGCATGGCAAGTGGAAAAACGCTCATGGGTGGACTCGAACCACCATCCTTTCGATTAACAGTCGAACGCGCTAACCAATTGCGCCACACGAGCATTGGATCAAAGGAAGATTGACCACCAAGTAACCATTAAGGAACAGTATTACCAGTGTTTGCATGCCAAACGACTTTGAAAAAAAATTTATTGTCTTTTAGTTCAAAACTTGAGAGTGTTCAGCATGACCCCCAAGTTTTCGCCCCACTCTCTCAAACACCATGCAGCATATTCTGGCCCTCAATTCTTTATCAATGATCAATAAATACACACTGCCATGTCCACCCCTGCCCAAACTGTCAAGTTGTGGGTCTCCCAGCACCATGCAAGCGCCTGCATGTGCTTTCACACACTCCACACCCACCTCGTCCTTGGCCTCACTGTCTGAGAGGTCACATACGTGTTTGCCAAGTCCCTGACGTCCATTTACACCTGGATTCATAGCCTCTACAGTGAGAATCCTGATCAGACATGGAGGGCAAACCAAGCAATATTTCGAAAATTTGGGCCTGAGTGCCACCAGTTTATCATTGCATTTTCCAGGACCACCTGCTGTCCTATCTGGATGAGGCTGCCCATGCCTATAAAATGGCGTTTCATCAGCCAATCAGCATTGCTTCAGTTTGGCAGATTGTGCATGCACATGGGTTGTTGTGGAAGGTGCCTGGCCAACTCGTTTTTTTCTTTCTTGGCAATGGCCTGATGTGTGCTCACCTCATGTCCTACAGAAGCTTGAGTGGCATGGAGTCAACATCAGGGAGACTGACATTTTACGATTTGTGCAGGAACCCAATGTGCTCAATTGGACACCATCAAGCCTCTTGTTTTTGGACAAAGTCAGCTTTGACAATTGCAGCATGCTTTGCACATGTGGGTATGGGCAAGTCAGAAAACCAGTCTGGGTGAAGGGGGAGTTCTTTCACTTGCCACACTTGTCATTGCTCTCTGTTTTCTTGACCTTTTTGGGATTTGGAGACTTTCCAGGTGCAATCTTGCTTTCTTTTTGTTTTCGTTTGATTCTGTTTGATTCCATTGCCAGTGCTCACATTATCCCAGCTTTGCTTGATTTGATTGCTCACAGGTGGAGGGTACATTCTCCAGGTCTGGGTTCGCCAAATGCTGCAAGAAATTTGCACTCTCTGGCAAGGTAAGCTGCTATCCTGGATTTGCATCCATTTGGATCTTAGATGGTGCCAAGATCCACTGCCATCCTGCCATTGTCGACTTTTTATGCTCTGTTGGCATATGGCCAATCTTTTTGCTGGCATATTGTCCCTTCTTCAACCCACTCGAGGTCATCTTTGCAATGATGAAAGTGTGTATAAAGCATGTATACAAGAAGGGGGGCGTGACTGCAAAGACTCTCCCACTCAAAATTTACAACACATTGGGCGACTTTGCTGACTGGGACATGTCAAGGGTGTACTGAAAATGTGGCTATTCAACTGGTATGCATTTTGATCCCTTCAAGTCATATTCGCGTGACGTTTCTGTGTTCCAGCAGAAAGAGTAAATAAATTAGAATACCTCATTCATTTTCTTGAATATCTGCCAGCATATCGGGCTCAGCATGGTCCTCATCTTCCTGGTCAGTCATATCTCCAAAATCATCCAAGTTGTCAGTGTCATTGTTTGGCAGGCAGCCACCTGCAATGCGTGCAGCCCTGCGCACAGCATGCATTTCAGCTGGTGTCAGATGCATCCCAACACTGAAGGCTGATACCACCTTGTGAGCACTGTTGAATTGCACAGTGAGTGCATTTGCCTCATCATAAATGAGATTCATCTCATCACAGAATCGCGTGCACATATTCCAGATGTGCTCCAGGAGGAGGGAGTTCATTCCGACAACAGTGCGATCACAAATGCCAAATGCAGCAGCCAAGTGATGTTGATAGCTCTCTGCTGGAGCTTTGGATGGCATGCAGAAGTGCAGGAGCATGTATGTTGGTGGCAGCCGCTCCAAAGCTGCAGCTTGATCTGGGCTAGGCAGTTGGGAGATGGCCACCACCCACATGTACCAAACGGCATTGTAGGCTTCAAGCAGGTATGACCACCTCGCCTTGAGGTGATTGACAATTGACTGGATCTCACTGTCTTTGTTGCACCTGCGCGATTGTGCTCAGTGCGTTTCAGAACCTAGGCAAGCATCAGCTGTTAATTGTGGTATAGCTGAATATAATAGGCATACAAAACCTGTCGCTCAAACGCCTCAAAGTCTTGCCAAGTGTGCACAGTCCAGGAATTCTTGTAGAAATAGCATTTCGCAAGCTTGTTGTCCCATTTCACCAACATTGAATCAGTTACATCACAAGTTGCTGTCAAGAAGAAAAAAAGCTGGGTTCAAGATCCAGCAGGATGCGATGGAAGAGACATTGAGGACACGCACAAGGTTTATAGGTTTGTTTGTCCAGCCGCTTGAACGTGTACAAGTGGTTTCCACCTTCAAACAAAACCCACAAGTCAAGGTTGTCATGAAAATACTTGGCAAAGTTCTTGTCTGACCTGATGGTCCATTTTCCATCCAGATGTAGCTCAGCCACACGTGCCATGGGACACAGTTTCTCGGTCAGCTGGGCCTCCAGATCACTGACATTCAAAACGGTAAATGCCAAAATGCCAAAAGCTTTGTCAATGGGTGCCCTGTAAAACGACTTTGGGTAAATCTCAAAGCTGATCTTAAAGGGTTCAGAGGCATTC